TCTGTACTTCCCTACGTTACGCTTGAGTAAACTGCTTTGCTGAACCCACGTGTCACGAGAGTTTCTCTGAGACGAACGGGGTAAACCTTACACTCTTACCATTACAAGGATTTCATGATTTCCAAAAACACAGTTTTGATCTTTCTTTTCTCATCCCAAATGGATGCCACGGGACAACCCATGTCTCGGAATTAATTTGAAAAATGGATACGTGGAAAATCTGGATAGAAGATGGGATTTAAACTTTGGACTGATTTTGAGAGTAATTACGTTTTTATCATTTTCTGCTGCAAAGAGCAAATATTTGCCTAGTACGTCTGCCCACCAGTATTCACAACTACAATATCTCCTGACAGCTTAACTGGAACATGCATCATTTTTAGCCTTTGAAATGCCTAACCTACTATAAGCAGGTACAAAATCCTCTGACAACCTACAGCTACTCTTTCTCATATTCTGTGGGTGATTTGGAACTTTTACTGGTTGAATGGAATAAAAAATGAGAGATTCCTTTTTTGCCCAGACCATGGAAAGAAGTGCGAACATCAAACAAAATGCTGATGATAGCAAAAACTTCAGTAGATATTAATTCCATTTGGGGGAAAAGTTGTTATAATTATTCCATTTGTGGGGGGATTTATTACATATATTAACTCAATGTGGGAAAAAATTAAATCTTTTCAGAGCTTTATCTTCTTTTGAACTAAATTCCTATTACATATGGAGGTTGACATCTGGACAAAGTAAATTCTCCATGCCCTACTTAAAGACTTAAATCTTCAGCACCGGAAAGATAAATACAAGGGTTGAATGAAAAGGAACAGCTCCAGGGTTATAACTTGCCAACAGATGGTGGTACTGATGCCCCCGAAGCTCCAGCGTGTTCTTTGGCACCCACTCTTTCATTCCAGTTGGTAGGTACTTGCTGTGAGAAAAGCTGGCGTTGCTATTGTTTGTGAAGTGGAAACCTGCAGTGAGTTCTCATCAGCGTCCTTTAAGCAACATGCCACAAAGGAGCTCCTCCAATTGAAATTCATCTCTGAATGCTGGGCCTCTCTGGGCCAATAATGTAAAGATGGCGAACCAGGAAGAGTTGATTTGTGTGACCAAGGATGAAGCACATCATCTGTGACAGCAACCTACCAGTTTCACATGAGAAAGTTTAGTGAACTGATTCAGGAAAATCAGTGAATCCTTCAAAGGGAAACTGCTGTCAAGGTTGGGAACTTACAGGTCAGACACATTACGGACGCTCTTCAGTAGTGGAAGGTTTGTGTAGAGTTCCTCACATGTAGATGACAGAAATGAAAGCTTCAAGAGTTTAAAACTGCCAGCAACTGTCATGCTATGGGAACAAAGGTGAGGAATTTCTTCACAGCATAACAGCCAATGAAACATGGGCTCATCATTATGACCCACAAACAAAGTGTTCAGTCCGTGGAATTTCATCACCCGTGAGGGAAAAGAATTCAAAGCCCAGGTTTGGCAGGAAAATTCACGGTTATACTTTTTGGGATGCAGATGATGTCATTCACATGTACTCCCTGAATCTGGCAACTGTTTCAACTCAGAGTGCTACATTGTAACCCTCAAGGCTTTGAAACAATGGTTAAGCAGAGCTTGCAACCACAAGGAGGTTAACTTTGCCGTAACACAACAACGCTAGCAGGGCACCTGGTGAGCCATCCAAGACACAACTGCCAAGTTGGATCTCACTGCCTTACCCCAAATTTGGCACCATGAGACTTCCACCTTTTCCCAACATGGAACGAATGCCTTCATGGGTATCTATTTGACTAGAACAGAGATGGGAAGAATAGACAAAGTGCGGAGTTCTTTTGTGATGGTTTTAATCTGATACTCCATCAGTGGCAGAAATGTGTAGCGAATGGTGGTGATTATATGGAGAAATACATACGAGGGAAAAAAGAGCTATTTTTCCTGTTTTATCTGTTAAAACATCCCTGATTAAAGTCCAGTTACTTTTAATTCAACCCCTGTATATTGCCCCAATTCGTCAATGGTCCACAGAGTTGATGTTATTACAGTAGAGTTTCGTTTAACCGACCTTCGCTTATCCGACATTCCGTCTTATCCGACGCCCCTAAAAAAAACAACACGCACAAATCGGCGACGAGAAAAGTGTGCCGCTTGTTTGCGAGCGTGAGTGTGCTCTTTCTTGTTGCTCCTGACGGTGGCGCCGCAATGCAAAAATCGATTGCTACAGGTGCAGCGGATGGTTTTTTTTTTTTTTTACCCCACTCAATCGTTACTGTGTGTTATCCAACATTTTCGCTTATCCGACATTCTGCCAGCCCGTTTATGTCGGATAAGCGAGACTCTACTGTAGTAATTTACGAATAAATCTGATTAGCTATGGATGATTATGAGGAACTATGGCTTCCATTCACTGAAATGCCTTTATACATGTGTGTGAATATATGCTTTTGGTTGTTTTTGTTTCTTCTTTATAAGTTTGTGTACATTTCTTTCTCTCTGTTTTTCATAATCGATAAAAGCAAAGAAGAAGGGAAGGGAAGGAGAGCCGAGCCGAGCCGAGCCGAGCCGAGCCTCCTGGAATTCCCAGCCGCCATTCTCTCCCACTGGCCCGGGAGCTTCACTCCCTCAAGGGCTCTGGAGAGCAGCCGGAGCCAGGGATTCTCGGCTGCCAGTTAAGGGAAGGGGCGAGCAGCGACTCGCAGAACGCTCTGATTAGGAGCAGAACCTACTCAGGTTCGCACCTACAGAGCGGGAGTTTCAGAAGTTTGCAAATAAAGACCAGTAAGTGCATTGCAAGTAACAAGCCACCCCGTTCAGCCTGTAGCGCAAGTGCTGCCCCAGGCTCTGCGGCGTGTATGAACCCGGACGGGCGGCAGCGCCGCTGTCAGTCGGGCCAGTCCTGTTCTTACAGGCCATGACACACACCCCCTTCCGAACTGCAGGCAGCTTCTGACGCAGCCAAGCGGCGGGGGGGGGTTATTACGGGGTGCAGCAAGGGGCGGCATCGCCCTTTTTTAACCGGCGCGCTGAGCAACCGCGGGCGGCTCCGCACTCGAGCGCAGCCGGCAGAGGGAGAAACGGGAGCCGAGCGCTGCCCTCCGCGTCCCGCCCCTCGCGGCCCG